GATAAAACCACAGTAATATATCATACTTGCTAGATTCCCCAAACATTCAGCTTTCATATGCATCTTTTGGATTCATTCTATGTATTATAGTTTTGAGAAAATCAATGAAATGTGAAAACACTCCTTTTTCGAGCATTTTTTAAAATTTGAAACGCAATTACAGCAATGTGGATAAGAGCACAAGAATGTATCTATACTTTAGCAGATAATGGATTATTTGGTTATAGAGAGGTGCCCCAAGTTGAGCGCCCAATTTTATGTAGGAAATTTAAAGGGTGTTTCTTGTGGTTTCGGTGAATTGAAAAACTATTTTCATATAGATGGTCATATTTTATTTAAGTGCATTATCGTTATTATTGTAAATTGTAAAATTGGTTTTCTATCCTCAACAATCTCCGCTCTTCACCATTCTCACATCGCTGGTCCACGCCGCGCAGTTGAGCATGCAGATGTTGTCGTAGGTGATTCCGTTCGATCCGCAAACCGGTTGATATTCCCTGGTGCAGCTGCATGGACATACACCCCTTGAGGCCATCCTCAAGGTGGAGTCCGTCTGGGCCAAACAGAAGAGTTGGCACGGGTTGGAGTAGGTGTTACCGTCGTTTCCGCAGACCGGATTCCAGATGGAAAGGCAAGCGCATTTCGGTGTCTCTGCGCATTCACCGCGGTTGACAACGCGAAGACTTTGGTCGCTCCTTGCGGCGCAGTTGAAGACGCACTGGTTACCGTAGGTTTGTCCGTTGGAGCCGCAGACCGGACGGTACTCGAAGGTGCAGACGCAGTCCTTCGAAGCGGAGGCCAAAGCCGCGATGGACAAGATCAAGAGGGTTGCGATTGAGTTCATCTTTGCTGTTGATTGCTTGGACTGTTGTTGTCGGATGACTTTTTGCCAAAAAATGCACTCTTTATATACTAACATTTTTATCGCATTATTTACCTTACTTTCGCTTTTTTCGGAGATGTTTGATAATAACTTAATCCCATACGGAGATGCAAAAAAAAAACGAGTAAATACAGACAGAAAACGCAATGTAACAGTTTATCATGTAACAGAAGATTTACAAATTAATCTATGAAGACTTTTTGAAAACTGCAATCCTTTAATTTTGTTAATATTACAAGTTTAAATTGACGATTAATTAGCTCATATGTTCAATAAATAACTTAAAGATTTAGTATTACAAATTTAAGCTAAATGAACATACAAAATTAATCAGTCTTTGTATTTGAAGAATTTCTTTAAATTTGTTCATATTATATAAAGATTTGCAAGTAATTTGTAAAACGTGTAATAATATTAATTGCAGTGAAGATGACAATTGAAAAAATTGTAATCTGCAATCTTTAAATAAATATTAAAAAAAAACTGGAATATTTTGGTGTTAGATGCAACCTGTTTGCACCCATAAAATATATCTAATCAGTGCAAATAAAGCGAAAATGAGGTAGGATATAAAAGTCTCGCGAAATTTTAGTTGGAATCAGAACATTGTGAAACATTGTCAGAACAAAGATGAAATCAACAGCAGCTTTCCTCCTTGTGGCTTCCTTGGCTTTGGCCTCGGCTTCATTGGACTGCAGATGCACCTTCGAGCATAAACCAGTGTGCGGATCCAACGGACAAACTTATGGTAACGAGTGCGTTTTCAACTGCGCCGCAAGAAGCGACGAAAATCTTCAGATCGTCAACCGTGGAAAGTGCAGCAACGCTCCGACTTGCATCTGCCCAGCCCTCTGGAATCCGGTCTGCGGAAGCGATGGTAACACCTACTCTAACCCTTGCGAACTCTTGTGCTTGGCTCGTCAAGATTCCTCGTTGAAGATGGTCTTCTATGGAGAGTGTGCATGCATCTGCACCAGAGAGTACGTCCCAGTTTGCGGTTCCAACGGAGAAACCTACGATAACTCGTGTCTTCTCAGCTGCGCCGCAAGAACTGAGTCAATCGTCAAGGTCAGGGAAGGACGTTGTTAAATGTTAAATTTTAATGTAATTCCTATGTAATAAACTATTAGTATCATGAAATTAATGAAAATATTGCATTTATTTAATTTCCCTCAATGTTGTTAATAATAAAGTCACCAATCTGTATTAAATACAATAATTAATTCGTTCTTAATCAGTTAGATCAATATGCTATAATCATTGGTATTAAAAGTAAATAATTATTGAAATGAATTTCTATATGAATTTGCGTATTTTTTTTGTCATATTTTGATAACATATGGAAATTCATGTGAAGAAACAAACAAATTATGCATGCGAAATAAGTAGGCAATACATTATTCTTGCCATGGAGATAATGAACAAACAAGGAAACAAATTTAAATATTGAGTTTGAAATATGCAATATGTCAATTAAATGTCAAATGTGACACTTGCTCTCACATGAAGTTATAATGACATGACAGTTTGTAAGATAACTATTAAGTGAAGTTTTGTATATTTATGACTCTTATTTACTTAAGCAACAATTGAAACAATAGCTTTAATTGATGCTTATTGACATGGGACATCTGGTATAAAAGGAAATACGAATTAGACAGAGGTACACTGAACAAAATGATGAACTTTCTTAAGAGAACAAAAGAGAAACCCATGAGTTACTGCAGCCCGTTCAGAAATTAGGAGGGGGTTCACCAGGCTCACAGTAAAATTATCCATAACTATTATAATTTATTTCTAAGTTATGAAGATTTCTGTGATATTGCATCAATATAATTTAATAAATAACTGTTAAAATAACATTGACAACTAATTATGTCAACTAATATTATTTTGATTGCAAGTGTCAAAATTAACATTTAATGTCAAATTAAATAATAATGACATAACCACAATAAAACTACAAAAAAAAAAAACAAAGGAACGTAATGAAGACTCCTCGAAATTGGTCTCGAAACAGAACATAATTTGTTTTTATCTTAAGGAAAAAGCACAATATTTGAAAATATAAAAATAATTTTAACAACCAACATAAATAAATTATGTGTATAAGATACAATATTTATGTGTCAAATCTGATACTATCTGTCAAATATAAACTGATATAACCTCAATAAGAAAATAAATGGCGATCAAAAAACATGACAAACGTGACATGACAGTTACCATAGGGAACAACTAAAAAAACTGTCCATAATGTATGTTCTTAATAGAAGTCTTTTTTTGTTAATTCTGTAATTGTATGCAGTTTGTTAAAGCCAAAAAAATAGTAAATTTATGACTTCGTCTATTAAATTAGGCTAATAATTTGCATTTATTTGTACAATACATTCAAAGATTATGGAGTTGTATTGTCTTCTTAAATAAATAAGAGATAAGTATGTTATTAGCATGTGATAACTAGTATAAAAGGAAAGGAAATCCGAACAACAAGTACACCCAACAAAATGAAGTGTAGTCTAATGATCTTTGCGACTTTGGCTGCGGCTGTCACCGCTCAACACGGTATTTGCCCGTTGATCTACGGACCGGTTTGCGCTTCGAATGGAATCACATACGGTAACGAATGCCGGTTTGACTACGCTGTGTCACAGGATGACACCATAACTTTCTTATTCTATGGAACATGTGAACCGTCCAATTGGGATGAACAAGTTTGTGGAAACCCAAGTAGACCTGGATTTTCGGACAAAATTTGCGGCTCGGATGGAGTCGTCTACAAGAACAAATGTTTCTTCGATCTTGCTGTTAAAAGGAATCCAGGTTTAGCGAAGAGACACGACGGTCCATGCGAAGAATGAACCAGTATAACCAACCATAATTATTTGTAGACAATATAGAAAAAAATGAGCAATAATAGTGAATTTTCTTTCCTTCCTTAATCTTATATATCACAAATCTGTAGTTACTAATATCAATGATTAAATCATAAAAATGCAATTATAAGTTTTACAGACTTCTTTTATTTTGGAGAATTTCCGTAAAATTGAAGAATCCTAGAGACATACAAAAATGTAACGAACGTTTTTTGAAATTTGCAAAGGGTTGACTCGAACCTAAATATTTACTTGAAATCTCTGTAGTTGTTGGAAAACAGTCAATATATGAAGTTTTAAAACAGGGAAATATCAGATTCAAAGATGATGATGAATTGGATATCTGACAAAATTGATATCTGACAAAACTACGATTTGTAATGACAAAGTTCTGTAAAAATGACTTTACCAGTTTAAGATATAATAAATATGTAATAGAATTACCAATTTACAACATTATATAATCATGTGATACATGTAATATTTAAGTGACAGATGTGACATTTGCTGTCATATGAAAAGTGATATAACCTCAATAAAANNNCATGGGGATTAATGAATAAACTAATTTTGACTATAAATTCAAAAAGTAAATATAGAAATCTTTAATTACATAAAGTTTATATATATATATTAAAGCGAAAAAAAAAATATGATTTGCATTTGTATAATTAATTCGAAGATTAGGGATAATTCCACAAACAATAGTGGTATTGTCTTTTTAAGTAAATAAGATATGAATCTGATAATCAGTATAAAAGGAAAGGAAATTCGAACTACAAGTACACTCAACAAAATGAAGTGCAGTATAATCATCTTCGCGTCTTTGGCTGCGGCCGTCACCGCTAATTGTCCGATGTTCCTCGCACCAATTTGCGCTTCTAATGGAATCACATACGATAACGATTGCCTCCTCGACCGCGCCGTGTCTCTTGACAACACCATAACTTCATTATTCAGTGGAACATGTAAGCCGTCCAATTGGGATATAGTTCAATGCAGATATTATGGACCAGGAAGTTTGGATACGGTTTGCGGCTCGGACGGAATCGTCTACGAGAACGAATGCTTCTTCGACCTCGGCGTTAAAAGGAATCCAGCTTTAGCGAAGAGACACAACAGTGAATGCGAAGAATAAACCAGCAGGTTCACAGTAGAACAACCATTCATAAATTCATAAATATTTGTAGAAAATATAGAAAAAAATGAACAATAATATTGAATTTTATTTCCTTCCTTGATCTTATACATCACAAATCTGTAGTTAAGAATAATCTTATCTAACATCAATGATTAAATCATAAAAAAAACAATTATAAGTTTTACAGATTTCTTTTAATTTGGAGAATTTCCATAAAATTGAACAATGTTAAAGACATACAAATAAACACGAAACAGGGTTTTCTAAATATTAACTCTGTACTTGTTTAGAAACAGTCAATATATGAAGTTTTCATGTTTTTTTCTTCGATTGTATTTAATTGCACTTTAAGTTTAAATTATTTATGAAAGTAATGTTTCAAAAACAGTAATGCTTTAAACTCGAAAGAAAACTCGATTCTTTAAAGTTGTTGATGAATTAGTAGTTACCAATTGGTTATTAAATGACTTTACCATTTTAAGATATAATAAATATGTAATAGAATTACCAATTTAGAACTTTATATAATCATGTGATACATGTAATATTTAAGTGTCAGATGTGACATTTGCTGTCATATGAAAAGTGATATAACCTCAATAAAAGAAAAACAAAATGGTAATGTTTGTATAATGATATGTGTCAAATGACAGTTACCATGGGGATTAATGAATAAACTAATTTTGAGTATCAACTCAAAAAGTAAATATAGAAATATTTGGTTACATATTTTTTTTATATATTATTGTATTTAATTGCTTATTAAACACGGAAATACGAGATTCAAAGATGATGATGAATTAGTAGTTACCAATTGGTTATTAAATGTCTGACATAACTACGATTAGTAAGGACAAGCTTTTGTAAAAATGACTTTACGAGTTTAGTTATTGTGATACATATAATACTTAAGTGTCAGTGTCAGACATTTTCAGACATTTGCTGTCATATGAAAAGTGATATAACCTCAATAAAAGAAAAACAAAATGGTAATTTTTCTATAATGATTTGTGTCAAATGACAATTACCATGGGGATTAATGAATAAACTAATTTTGAGTATCAATTCAAAAAGTAAATATAGAAATATTTGGTTACATATTTTTTTATATATTATTGTATTTAATTGCTCATTAAACACGGAAATACCAGATTCAAAGATGATGATGAATTAGTAGTTACCAATTGGTTATTCAATATTTGACAAAACTACGATTCGTAAAGACAAACTTCTGTAAAAATGACTTTACGAGTTTAGTTATTGTGATACATGTAATACTTAAGTGTCAGTGTCAGACATTTGCTGTCATATGAAAAGTGATATAACCTCAATGAAATAAAAACAAAATGGTAATGTTTGTATAATGATTTGTGTCAAATGACAGTTACCATGGGGATTAATGAATAAACTAATTTTGACTATCAATTCAAAAAGTTAATATAGAAATCTTTAGTTATATAAATTTTCTATAAATATGTTAATGCGAAAAAAAAATATGATTTCTTAAATTATTGTTACGGAAATCTACAAAACTTGTCTGCTGATTTCTTTGTATAATTAATTCGAAGATTAGGGATAATTCCATAAACAATAGTTGTATTGTCTTTTTAAGTAAATAAGCTATGAATCGGATATTGTTATTGGTATGGGATAACTAGTATAAAAAGGAAAGGAAATCCGAACTACAAGTACACTCAACAAAATGAAGTGGAGTATAATCATCTTCGCGTCTTTGGCTGCGGCTGTCACCGCTCAATACCAACACGGTATTTGTCCGTTGATCCTCTCACCAATTTGCGCATCGAATGGAATCACATACGATAACGATTGCCTCTTCGACTACGCCGTGTCTCTGGACAACACCATAACTTCGTTATTCCGTGGAACATGTGAGCCGTCCAGTTTCGATTTTATTCAATGCAGAGAATATGATGTAGAAATTTTGATTACGGTTTGCGGCTCGGACGGATTCGTCTACGAGAACGAATGCTTCTTCGATCTCGCTGTTAAAAGGAATCCGAGTCTGAGGAAGAGACACAACAGCGAATGCCCGTTGATTTGCGGATCTGATGGTTTGCTTTACGATGTTCAAATTTTCTTCAGAGAACAAGACGAAAACGAAGAACTTTACCAAAAACCCATCAGCTTTTGCAGCGTTTAACAAGGAAATTGCAGAGATGCACCAGGCCCACAGTAAAACTATCTATAATTAGTTGTAAACAATAAAACAATATTCAGCAAAAACAAAACATTTTTTCTTTGATTTTATACATAACACAAGAGAAATTAAAAAGTTGTAATTAGTTCAATACACCTATGAAGGTAACAAAACGCCATCTATTATTAACAAATTAAATTTTCTTAATTATGAAATTTATTTAAAGGAAATTCTAACTAAATTTCAATTATCACTCTTTTTATATAATCAGACTAATGCACTAAAGTTTCTTGCAACGAAACGCCATCTATTATTTAATAAGTGAAGCTTTTTTTTTATTAAAAATCAACATTTTGAATCAACTTTTTATCGTTACACTAATAATCAACAACCATAGTATATTAAAGTTTTCTAATTATGGAAAAATAATTAATAGAAGTGTTAACATCAGAATGTACAAGCACCAAAACTTTTTACAATAAATCGCCACCTATTGTTAACAAATTAAATTTTCAAATTATGAAAAATAATTCATAAAAATATTCTATTACAAATAAAGCTTTTTTTTAAACAAAACGCCATCTATTGTCAGCACATTAAGGTTTCTAATTATGAAAAATAATTCATAGACATATGAACTAGATTCGGACAAACTTTTTATTTTTTTTGTTTTAATAATCATACTAGTATATAACCAACAAAACTTCTTTCAACGAAACGCCATCTATTGTCAACAGATTAAGTTTCCTAATTATGAAAAATAATTCATAGATAAATGAACTAGATTTGGGCAAACTTTATAGTTTTTTGTTTTAATAATCATACTAGTATATAACCAACAAAACTTCTTTCTACGAAACGCCATCTATTGTCAACAGATTAAGTTTTCTAATTATGAAAAATAATTATAGATAAATGAACTAGATTTGGGCAAGCTTTTTACTTTTTTATTTTAATAATCATACTAGTATATAACCAACAAAACTTATTTCAAAGAAACGCCATCTATTGTTAAAAAATTAAGTTTTCTTAATTATGAAATATAAATCATTGTTAACTAGATTTTAATGAGTAATGCTAATATCATTATAGGATTTAATTAGATAACACGAACAATTAGATAATTACTTGCAGCTTTCGATTGTTTGATTCGTAACAAAAGAAAGATAAGTCAACAAAATTTCTATATAAACTGACGGAAAATGCTTCTAAACTCATAATCAAAAAGATGCTCGCTTCGATTGTAGTGTTGGTAACAATTGCGGCCGGTTCTTACGCCGGACCAGACTGTCCACCAAACTATAATCCAGTGTGCGGTTACGACCTAAAAACCTACAAAAACAGTTGTTACATAACAACACCCATCTTGCATTACGGCGTCTGCCAACCGCTCTCCGTGAGAATTTGCGGATCGGACGGCGTCTATTACGGGAACATCGCTTTCTTCAACAGAGCTGCACGTGCGAATCCCAACTTGACCATCGACTATACCAGAGAGGGTTGCCTTCCTGGTCCCAACGTTGAAATCGATGGTGTTTGTCAAGCTGTCTACGATCCGGTTTGCGGACCCAACGGAGTCACCTACTTCAACAGTTGCTTCTACCGAAAAATTATCATTACACCGCATAAAAATACGCCTTTCGTGCATCTCGGCGAATGCGGATACATAGTTTGCTCCGGAAGAACATTCTACGATGCGCCGGCTGCAGAAGCGGCGCAGTTGAAATATATCGTACCATTGAGTTTCTGTTTACCAGAAAATCCACCATTCAATGTTGCCCAACATTTGATCGTCACTCCAGCATAAACCCACAATATATGAATTTGCTATATTAAATGTTTTGAAAAGTGTAAGTTTTAGAAATATATGCAAGAATAAAAGTTGTTTAGTTTTTATACCTAATTCAAGATTGGTTGTGGAAAAACTTGGAAGGAATCGTTAAAAAAGCAAGAACAAAATCAATTCACGATTATTTATTTGGTAACACTGTCATCTAATTCGTTTGTTTTATCATGGACAAGCCCCATTGGACACCTTCTTCAAACCTGGATTACTTTTTGCGCGACAATTCAATAGGCATTCGTTGTCGTACGTTTTACCGTCGCTTCCGCAGATTGGAGCCCAAAGGGCAGGACAGACGCATTGTTCATCGCATTTACCATCCTTGACGATCTTCAGGGAATCGTCCTTCTTCCCGGCGCACTCAAACGTGCACTTGTTGGAATAGGTTTTTCCGTCAGATCCGCACACCTCTTTCAATTCTCTGGTGCAGATGCAGTCGTCTGCAGAAGCTGAGGCCGTAGCCAAAGCGAAAAGACACAAAGTCAGAACTGTTACTTTCATTTTACTGAAACAAACTGTGATCGATGTGCGAAGTCTAACAGGTTTTATACTATAAGTTATCTATGCAAATTGCACATTTAAACGCATATTTTAGAAGCGAGGCCATCAAGGCCAATAATTTAAAATAGAAGTAATTTTTGCTTAAAAGTAAATGGAAAATTCCCAAAGCAAACTTAATATGATATGTTTTCAAATTTCGTTGTAATTTCTCAAAAAATCTTTCTTTTTCAAAATTTTTGTAAATTTATAATCAAAATTTCTACGAATTGAAGAAAATTACGAAGAAGCAAACACTTCTAGAAACAGAAATTGTTAAAAGTTTTCAAATTTCTTAAATTTATCTCTTCGAATTTGAGAATTTAAGAAATTTATCATAAAAACTAAATATCTTTGGAATTTTATAAATTTATAGAAACTTCGGTAATCGAATTTCAGCAAAAAAATATGAAATTTTTACAAATTTATTGAAAACAAACTCGTAAATTAAGAAAACAATAGTTTTTGAATATAGAAAATTGTATTTTTCAAGTAAATAATGAAAATTCACGTGCACATAAGATTATGTGTTAAAAAATCTTGAAGATTATGTTAATTAATAAGTGATTGTCATCGAGAACAATTAGTGAAAAAGATTAGTGAAACAATACGGGTATTGTCTTGTCTTCTTGAGCAAATAAGATGATGCGAGTTTATTGTTATAGCACAAGGAAGAAACGGTATAAAAGATGAGGGAAACCGATGATTTAGTCACAATCAAAATGATGTTAGTTTTGATAGTAGTTTTGGTCGCCTCGGTCAGCGCTGAAATCGATTTCACGCCATGTCCGTGGTACGAACCGATTTGCGCCTCAAACGGAGTGACTTACGATAACGAATGTCAGTTCAATCGTGCAGTTGCAGAAGAGGACAGCAGTTTAACAATTAAATTCCAGGGAACGTGCGAGTATTCTGAATGGGATCAACTTATCTGCAGCAAAGAGAAATCTAAGAATATTTGCGGTTCGGATGGAAACAACTACAGCAACCAATGCTACTTCGAGTTTGCCTTTAAAAGGAATCAGATTCTGAGGAAGAGGAACGGTGGTCATTGTCGCACTATCGAAAAAACCTCTGAAGTATGCGGAAGCGATGGCAAAAAGTACCTTGGGTCTCATTTCCTTGCCGAACAATCGGTCAGACCTCAGCTCGGAGTGTGGCCGAAAGAGTATTGTGAACGACCAATAACTCTTCCATCAGGTCCAAGAGGTACTACAGAACGTCCAATTCACGGAATTCCACCCAAATCTGCACCTGAACCTGATCCGGAGATTCCCACTGTCTGCGGATCGGATTTTTTGATATACGAGATAAGGACTTTCTGGGAGCAGAAAGAACGCAGACCAGGACTCAAAGAATTGCCGCTGAGTGATTGCTACTACAAACCGTACTTCCAAGGATAAATCTATGCATGTTTCACGATTTGACCATCTTAAATAAACGAAATAATAATCAACAAATCTATTTAAATTTTACCATCATCCAACAACCATAATGAAATTGTTATGAATCAATGAAATTTTTTTGTTACAGTACAAACATTTTCAATGAAATCACATACATTCATATTCTACGAAGATTTTAACAGTTTGAACTTTTCTGATAACTATTATTCATGTAAAAGACTAAAAAAATTGAACAACTTACACAAAATTCATCATAGAAATGATTGGATTTGAAAATGTTCTTCAAAATTATTACATATTACATTCATGAATGGATATTTTCTATTGGATTAATCAAATTCGAAATTGGCTTTTTCATGACAAAATACAAAAATTAATCTGAATTTGTTTAAAACAAAAAAACGTAATTTTAATAATGAAATATGTGCAAATATGTTTGTGCAACAGAATTTGATGAATATTTTATTCAACTTGATTGATTTCATGTTAATAAGTTATTTAGATGAAATTGTAAGGTTTATAGTATGCTATGGATAAATGAAAAGTGACATAACCGTAGCAGAAAAGAAATGGCGGTGAATCAAAATAGTAACGCTTCTTTTATGACACTTTACGAAAATTATAGATTTGATATTATTAATGAATTTATTAATTAAAGTTGCTATTATATTGACCTTATACTGAAGTTTACTTAACATATGAGATTTTTGTGTAAAAAACGTTTCTTTCACGACATTTTTCAATTTTAGAAATTTGTCTTAAGGTAAAGTATTGTGGATTTGGTATTATTAAACTGATCGATTTAAGTTGCAAAACTTGAAGTTTACTTAATTTAATCTTGTATTTTTGAGACTTTAGTGTAAAAAAAACATATAATTATTTAATAAATGATTGTCATCGAGAACAATTAAAGGATTAGTGAAACAATACCGGTATTGTCTTCTTGAGCAAATAAGTTAATTTTACAAGGAAGAAACGGTATAAAAGGAGTGTTGAAATGATCAAGCAGTCACAATCAAAAATGAAGTGTGTTTTAATCGTTGTTTTAGCCGCCGCTGCTCAAGTGAACGCAGCTTTCCCAACTGGTTACGATCCGATTTGCGCATCCAACGGAAAAACGTACCAAAACGAAGCACAGTTCAACCTTGAATTGCAGAAAGATGACACTCTGACTATTAACTTCCACGGAACGTGCAAGTACTCCGGTTGGGATGATTACGTTTGCGAAGACATCGGAACGCTCACTATGTGCGGATCGGATGGAATCAACTACAAGAACGATTGCCTCTTCCACTTTGCCTTGAAAAGGAATCCGAGTTTGAGGTGGAGACTCGGAGGCGTTTGCAAATCGTATTTGATCACTGAAAAGGTGTGCGGAACTGATGGTGTCGTCTACAACGTCCCAAAGTTCCTTGCAGAGCAATCAGTTAGACCTTACCTCGGACAGTGGCCGATTGAATCGTGCACTGGTGACTCGGATCAGCTGCAGACACCTTTATATGAGGTTCCCACCTTTTGCGGATCGGATTTATTGATATACGAAGATCCGATTTTCGAGGCGCAGCAAGCTCTTAGAGCTGATCTCGAAGAATTGCCGCTGAGCGATTGCTACTACAAACCTTACTTCCTAGAATAAGTCTGTACATATTGACGATCTGATTTTGATAAATAAATAAATTTGAACAAATCTATTCGCATATTTCTTTTACATTTCACCAACATCCATCAAGAATAACCAAATTCTCTGATATTATTGAAAAATTCGTACAGAAAAATAATCATATCTTAACATATCCTTACAAAAAATCATACTAAATTGTGGATTCTTCACAGAATCTTTCAAATATTTGGTCAGAGTGGTATAAAATAACTGCAAACTAAACAAATTCAAGCATAAAAAAGTATATTTTGTTCACTTCATGACTTGCTTTTCAATATTATTTTTTGGCTCTAGTTATTGCATAAATGTATGATTTCAATAAAAAAAATTGTTCATTGTCAATTCTTCATTTAGATGACAAAGTGTGAGTTTGAAAAATTAAAATTTGAGGGAAATTCGAAAGTTGTTCATGAAAAAAATTTGAATATTGATTTTTAGTTGGTAATTACAGAACAAAGTTTGATTTTCATTTTTTTTTC